TAATGTTAGATTTTCCTTTGTTCCAAGCGCCTAAATATCAAATTTCACTTAAATCCCTCCATAAATAAAAAAGTTGCCACTGCGCATGCGCAAAATAAAATTTTGAAACTGGCGCTAGATTTTCCTTTATTCCAAGTGCCTATGTATCAAATTTCATTTAAATTCTTCCATAAATAAAAAGTTGGCACTGCGCATGCGCAAAACCAAATTTTGAAATTGGCGTTTGATTTTCCTTTATCCCAAGTGCCTATGTATCAAATTTCATTCAAATGCTTTTATAAGTAAAAAATTTTGCAATTCGGTTTATAAATGGTCGAGATGCAAAAGGGCACTGTGAATTTTGAATCGATTCGATTCAACTTTTGGCGTTGCGTATTATATGGCTAAAGCTATGCCCATATTGAATTTCATGCAATTCAGTTCATAACTAACGGAGATGTAAAAGCGATCGAACATTTCTAAACAAAGTTATCGTTCACACGAACAGATAGATGGACAGACAGACAAAGGAACAGACGGACAGACCAACAGGCAGACGACAGATAGCAATGCAAAATTATAAACGATCTCTAGGATCGTGAATAAACGGCAAAAGTGTAAAATATGGAACATGTAAAAAACGGTTTTTTCTTTTTTTTACAATAACTATTTTTGTAAGCGGTACAGAAAAAATTCCTTCCTTGGTATAAGACTCGACACCATAACGAACCAAATAGCGAAAAAAGTAGAACAATAGCTCTTAAAAGATAAAGAACTAGTAGCGTCGCAAAACGAGCGGACGGACGGACGGACGGACAAAGTGGCCACAATAGCGCATTTTTTTTTATTTTTGTGGAAATGCGCTAAAAAAGCAGGTAACTTACAACCCGACTTTCGCAGGCTGGCGATGATACTTCCATTTGCAACGCTACGTTTTCAGAAATCAAATACGCAATTCTAATCCCTTGCTGCAGGCATTTCTTTGTAAATACATTCGGGTAGTATCGGTAAGGTGACATGATGGTTGTCTAACAAACGGCTGGACATTACAAATTAGTAATTATCAGAATAGTATCACTTTGTCGGTACCCACTTCTGACGCTCCGTTAAGAAGATATTCGCGTTTAAAGTTTTCACTTTTCCGATGGAAACGTCTCATCGAGATTTATTACTTTCTCTTTGTGGATACCCACTTCCGAGGCTCCGTTCTCGAGTTATAAGAATTTCAGTGAGAGATGGTCTAACTGGAACGGAACCGTTGGATGCGTCTGGACGAGACCTATGATTTTCTCTTTGTCTGTACCCACTTCCTACGTTCCGTTAAGAAGGTATTCGCGTGTTTTGACCTTTCCTGTGGAAACACATTATCAGCAGCCAGCAGCGTAATTATATCTACATTGGGCTATCTTGTGTAATAAGAAACGCTTATAAGTCTTTACCTCTTTGCTTAGTTATTACCAACCGACGCCTATGTTTACGCCGCATCATGCTCAACCACTAACAACGACCAATGGAAAATCACTAGTTGTTCGCCGTTCCCCACTCTCGCATATTCCTCCCGCTGATATCTAAGCGTTTCATCAAATCGTTACATACAACATCGAAACTAGCATCCTATAAGTGTTTTCAATACTAAAAACTAGGAATAAACAATTGTAATTAGATAGAGAAGACACGTACGTACGTGTAATTATAATTTATAGTTACCCCATAATGACGTAAGTCGAAACATGTATAGCACTAACTTTTTTTTGTATCGCTACAAACTACAAGAACCAAAAGCAGAAATTTTGCCAAAATCAGTTTGCGCTAAAAGAGATAATGCTGTAATTTTATACTACAGGAATTCTGTACTACCTACTTAAGGAAATTTAGGTATTTGTTTTGACTTATGAATAATTATGTTAACTGATTATTCATGTATATGCCAATTAATCAGTCAGAGTGACGTAACGTTCTTGATGGAATATAATCTACTACACATTATATACATAACATAAACAGTAAATGATTATTCGATATCGGAATATGTGGCTGAAATTTCATGGTCGTATGTGGTATGTGAGTAAATAAATAAAACGAAGGAGGGTTCCACCGTTTTCCATACGTTTGAGTCAAGTGGTTTCCAAGCTAATGTAGGTATCGATATTGGTGGCATTATAGGAACTAGTTTTAATAGATACAGAATCAGAGTTATACCTATTTGGCATTAATTGGAATTAGTGTACCTACATCCTCATACTCGTCATTTTCTGCCAAGCGTGTTCCATTTACTCTCAACCCTATAGGGTAGGGCTGCCATACGTCCCGACACGTCGCGTCGGGACATGTCACCGTTATGAGCTCATATGTCCCGACGTCCCGACATGAACTTGGAAAGTCCCGATTTAGTGGCCCACTGTAGGGCGACGAATTTGATGTTTTTGAATGGATAGTTTTGGAAGTAACACCAAACTGGGAAAGTGTTGAAAAGACAGTGTTATATCTTAATTCTAAAGATATCCAAATAAATGAAAGTATTTTTGATCAATTTTTGTACATGCAATCGTTTGTTCAGCAAAACATCAAGAACGAAGACTGGAATATAAAAAGCATGCATGAAAAATGGATGTATTTCTTTCAAGAAACAAAAGAAGTTGAAAGAAAAAAGGACCTACTCAAAATGGTTCAGTATTTGTATGCAGTACCAAGCCATAACGCCAATGTTGAGCGAATACCGAGATGTAAAATTAAACATAAAAAAACAAGCTTAAACTTTTTTGTACCCGGGTGTCCCGACAGTTCTCTGGGAATTTATGGCAGCCCTACTATAGGGTTCGCTGTTACTCTTCAAATGAGAAAGCTAGTTTTTTGTATTCTATATAGACAAATAGGCGGAATAAGATTATGGGCATTAAAAAAGTTTCGGATGTTTCGAATCATACAGTTTCCAATTATTAAAAGGTTACCTAAATTAGCAGTTTTGCAGAATTTTGACCTGACGTTATATATTTTGATCTCGTTTCATTTCATGAAAATTGTTTATTTCTCATATTATAGGTACCTACATGGTTAAGACATTTTTTAAGATGGATCTTTCGGTGTCACCAAACAACCTTTAAATAATTATTAGTAATATTACCACCTATGAAAAACAAAAGCCACTAACTTGCAAACAAATGACAGTGGGGGTTGCTTGTTGGCGCCAAAAGATTGTGTAGTGTACAAATTTACACAATGAAGCGGCGTTAACGTTTTACTCGACGCAAATGATAGCTTTCTCTGAATCTCTAATACCATCTCTTTTTTTGCAAGATTAGAAAGGTTGACATAGTATCCCATTCACGCAAAAGGACTGAGGAACTAAATTTTGTGTTTTAATCTCATTGAACGCCCCAACTTGTTACTCGAAGTGAAGTTAACATTTGACTTACCTATATGACATAGACTGACGTTCAATAAGTAGGCTCTAGGAAGTCAAATGACTACTTTATTCCAACTTTGGTTGAGTCTATTTAAGCGTTCAATAATTGTTCTTTGTAGTAGGCTATGGTTATATCATAGGGCCATTGATAAGTTCGTATGGTTTGATGTCAACTATCCGTAAATGTCGAAAAACACGCACGTGCAAACAAAAACAAAGAAACACTGGTCAGTTTTGAAAAAAAGGTATTAGTGAGAACACCATTAAAGGATCATGATTGCTACACCAATCGATTGAAGTGTTTAGAAAGCCTGTTATGAATTTTCACTTCACATTTTCATAAGTAGAATTTTGTCATGAATATTTCGTGTTATGTGAAAGAATTGCGTTTTCTATTTCTCCGTTATCAATGAAAAAGTTGAAGTAAAAATGAATTTGTAGTAATTGACAAACAGAAACGGGAATTAGGGACTACAATAATTCGAGCTAGAAATATGGTCGTAAAAGTCCCTACAATATTATAAATGGACGAATGAAAATACTGTAGCTTGCGCCTACTAGGTACACATCCTATAATAATTACTATATAATCCGTTGGGAGGACGCAATGGGAACATGCTGAATTTTTTGAGTAATATCACACCAGCATCGTTTCATTTCTTTTGAACATTGACGTGTACGTCGTTTAGTATAAGAACAGTCGCAGGTAGCCGCTCACTGCAAACCTTATGTCTTTTCCTTCGCATGGGCTAGGTAGAGATGAAAATATAATAGCATAGCTCGTGTACAACTCACAGGCGACCAGCGACTGTGACTGTTTTTATATTAGAAGAGCAATATTCACTATTTACGTATAAGTGTCGGTCCCTACACTGCTTTAGAGCACACTTTTCCAAAAAATGAATTACTTATCTACCGAGCTGAAGTTTCCACTGTATACAAATCTTAGAGGATCTAAAAATCATAATTTATGGGCACCAATTTCATTAGTAAAACGTCAGAACGCTTTGCCTCGAAGCAGAAATAGAGGTTCTCGCTGCTTTAGCTTAGGATATTGGTTTTGTCAAATTTTATATTCATTTCATTCACTCATTTTATAGTTCCATTGGGGTAGTATAAAACAATTGCAGAAGTACTATTTTCCTTCAATGAATATTAAATCAAATGACTATGCACTTCATTACAATTAGACTAGAACTATAAATTGTGAAAACCTGTTAAATTTAATTAGTTACTAAAACTGTGCAAAGCGTTTTCGTATTTAAATTAACGCTAACGTATTCAATGAGAGGCACTTATGAAAATGTAGGTATATTGCGAAAAATTTCATTCGTCCTCGCACTTACATTTTTGGCACGCTGTGTATGAAAATAGTATGAACGGTTTGTTGTGTTTGTCTTCTCTACGAGTTTAAAATAGTTTTAAGAATCAACTTCGTCTGGCACCACATTGGACTCTTCCAAAACATTAAATGCATATTGCCCCGCATGATCTATGTTTTATTTTATATACTGTTTCGATTGATTGATTGAAAATAATCAAAATTTGTTGGAGAATGATTTAGCGTATCTACTAGTAGAATACCTTTAGTAGTAGAATGTGTTCGATGTTGTTACAGTTTGGGCGTACAGATTCATACCGTGTAGCTACGATTCCGGCCAATTATGACGACAACAAAACAGCAGACGGTAGATCAAAGGTATAGTGGATCAATTTTTATATCCGGCACTGTGGTCTCTTTGGCACTGCTTTTCGATGGTGGAGGTATCTAGTTCTATGTCTCTCTGTCTTAATTTTCCTTTTTAATATCACTAACCCAAACAGTTCGCACATTTCATATTATTGTACATAATCCATATCATCTGCAAAATAGAGTAAGCACATTGAGGAGGTGGCGAGTTTAGCCACAGCGTCCTGTATATTATCTTGTTTCCTGCTATTTACATCTTAACTTTGTATTAAGTAGGTAGACGAATAGTTGTCAATTAAATAATAAGTGATTAGTGAATCTATTTTACCTTACAATGAGGAAGTCTCAATCTCAATCGTAATTTTTTTGTAAAATGCAAATAAATAAAAACCAGTTATTACTTAGGTACTTTATTTTTTTTAAATTAGTATTCAGACTGACCCTTAAAGCATTTTCGTACTTTCCTAATTTATTAATACCTTGTACATGCGATCTAAAATTTATTTTCTCAACAAGCAACATTTTTTATAAAGATTGTCTTTGTCGTAAAATGAATAATAAAATTTTTTTCTCTATTGGATACCCCCATCCGTGGACACACTATATAATCTTCAGACCTTCTTAGACTTATTGCGCAATTTGCATAGGAGTGGAGGTTTTCGACGAAAAATTTTTTAAATTCGCAAATGAAATGTGACTTGAAGGCATCAGTATAAACGGAAATTTGGTATTTTTTTAAAAAGTTCTTCAAATTTTTCAGATAAGCGTAACAAATCTGTAGTATTTTTGCAAATTTTATGCTAAAACAGAAACAGAAACACAACAGAATACCTCGGTAAGGTTGGCTATATATACGATTGACATACAAATTTCCTAAAAAATGTGTCGAGACTACAACAAGAGTTTTGGACCTGTTGCAAAACGCGCTTCAACAAGGACTGTGATTACTAGCTGCGAATGTGCAAAATCGTCGCTAAATTTCATGTATCAGCATTAATTGTTTACTGTACTCATATGGAAGATGCTTTTTCTGGGACTGTTGGCTTTGTAAACATTTTACTAAATTCCCTACTTGCACAAGGTTCTTATTTAGGAATGGGAGTTGTTACAAGAGAGGAAAAGGCGAACGCATAGACTAAATACCTAATCAGTTTCATCTTTTCATGTGCCATTTGTTAGAAATCAACGCAACCTCGCGGACTTTTGGAAACGTAACCCAAACGAAACATTCTGGATCCACTCTGTATATAGTTATTGTTTCTAGAAGAACGTAGATATATATTTATCAGTCTCTAAAAGGTTGAGTGTAAAATTCTCGATAAATTAAAATAAATAAAAACAAGTGAATCTCCATACTAAAAATAAGGATAGGTATATAGCTAGGTTATGCTCCACAGAGAATTGCGTCATAAAATCGCAATTGTGTTTATACAAGTTCCTAATGTGCCACAGACTGACAGTACTGAAAGTATTATTTAGTACAACAGTTTCTTCAGTGGACAGCTTCAATCCGCTTGGTCTTCTGTCTACCTTTGACAACTTGATTGTTGTATCAACAGAGTATGAATTAAGCTCTATTTTCTCCTTCCTACATTTTTAACAATCGATAGGTCCTACTAAAGCTTAATTTTGATCCAAATTGTAGATTGCTGCAAATATCACCTTTCGTCGTCGCAACCCTGGTGATGTTCACAATCTGAGTGAACTGGTGTTGGTTTCTTATAACAAGTTCCCTTTGGAAGCTTTTTAATTACTAACTTGGGGGGTGGGGTTCACAGGTTACTGTATATATTATTTATAATGTAGGTAGTACTAACACGTATTAACGACGCAATTTATGTAGTACCAATAAAATTAATTGCGTGTTTCTGTTGTAGTCACGTAGAAAGAACGCTAAGAAGCAACGAAAGGCTGATGACCTAGACGACTTAAAACAAGAATTAGATATCGACTATCACAAGATTTCACCAGAAGAATTATATCAACGATTTCAAACACATCCGGAAAATGTAATGGACTTAATTTGTTATTCTTAAGATTAACTTTATGTATTTCACAGGGTCTTAGTCATGCGAAAGCAAAAGAAAATTTGGAAAGGGACGGACCCAATGCCCTTACACCACCAAAAACAATACCTGAATGGGTTAAATTTTGTAAAAATTTATTCGGAGGCTTTGCTCTCCTTCTCTGGGTGGGTTCAATTTTATGTTTCATTGCCTATTCCATCCAAGCCACTAGTGTGGAGGAACCAATTGATGATAATCTTTACCTTGGTATTGTCTTAGCAGCTGTTGTTATCGTTACAGGTACGTTTAGAGGGCGCCCCCCCTCGCAAGACGCTAATACTTTTTTGTAGGTATATTTTCATATTATCAAGAAAGCAAAAGTTCTAAGATTATGGAATCTTTCAAGAACATGGTACCTCAATTTGCGACCGTCATAAGAGAAGGCGAAAAACTTACTCTCAGAGCCGAAGACTTGGTCTTGGGAGATGTTGTGGAAGTGAAATTTGGCGACAGAATTCCAGCAGATATCCGAATTATCGAATCGCGAGGTTTAAAAGTTGACAATTCCTCACTGACTGGCGAATCAGAACCTCAAAGTCGGAGTCCAGAGTTCACGCACGATAATCCATTAGAAACGAAAAATTTAGCGTTTTTCTCGACTAATGCTGTGGAAGGCACTGCCAAAGGTGTTGTTATCAGTTGTGGAGACAATACAGTAATGGGAAGGATCGCTGGTCTCGCTTCGGGACTCGATACCGGCGAAACCCCCATCGCTAAAGAAATTCATCATTTCATTCATATTATCACTGGCGTAGCTGTGTTTCTAGGTAGGTTTTTGCAAGGTCTATTTTGCTGGCTCCGCCCATCTATTGAAACTAAATTTTGATCGACAGGAATAAATGTAAAATGGGAGGGGTCAGCGAAATGGACTTGTTTTTGTGGGCTTGACTAACTAACTCTTTTATTTTGTAGGTGTAACATTCTTTATCATTGCTCTAGTTCTTAAATATTTCTGGTTGGATGCTGTAATATTCTTGATCGGTATTATAGTAGCGAACGTACCAGAAGGTCTATTAGCTACAGTAACTGTATGTTTAACGTTAACGGCCAAAAGAATGGCTTCTAAGAACTGCCTTGTCAAAAACTTGGAAGCTGTCGAAACGCTGGGTTCTACCAGCACCATCTGCTCAGACAAGACTGGTACTCTTACTCAAAACCGTATGACTGTCGCGCACATGTGGTTCGATAACCAAATTATAGAGGCGGATACAACTGAAGATCAATCCGGTGTTCAATACGATCGCACGAGTCCCGGATTTAAAGCCCTGGCGCGTATCGCGAGTTTGTGTAATCGTGCCGAATTTAAAGGCGGCCAAGACGGTGTACCAATTTTGAAAAAGGAAGTGAACGGTGATGCATCCGAAGCCGCGTTGCTGAAGTGTATGGAACTTGCGCTGGGCGACATTCTGGGTATTAGGCGCAAAAACAAGAAAGTGTGCGAAATTCCCTTCAATTCCACAAATAAGTATCAAGTATCTATCCACGAGAATGAAGATCCCAATGATCCCAGACATGTTTTGGTAATGAAGGGGGCACCCGAACGTATACTTGAACGATGCGCAACCATTTTCATAGGAGGCAAAGAAAAAGTTCTTGACGAGGAAATGAAGGAAGCTTTCAATAACGCCTATTTAGAATTAGGAGGGTTGGGTGAACGAGTTTTAGGATTCTGTGATTTTATGCTTCCCACTGATAAGTACCCTACCGGATTTAAATTTAACGCTGACGATCCCAACTTTCCATTGGAAGGCTTACGATTTGTTGGATTAATGTCTATGATTGATCCTCCACGTGCCGCCGTGCCCGATGCAGTTGCCAAGTGCAGAAGTGCCGGTATCAAGGTCATTATGGTCACCGGTGATCATCCAATTACAGCAAAGGCTATTGCAAAATCGGTCGGTATTATTTCCGAAGGCAACGAAACTGTAGAAGATATTGCCCAACGATTAAACATTCCAGTATCCGAAGTGAATCCGCGCGAAGCTAAAGCCGCCGTTATTCACGGAAGCGACTTGAGAGACTTATCTTCGGATCAACTTGATGAAGTATTACGATATCATACCGAAATTGTATTTGCCAGAACTTCCCCCCAACAGAAACTGATTATTGTTGAAGGTTGTCAACGTATGGGAGCCATTGTAGCAGTAACAGGTAAGTTATTTACACCTTTTATTTTCTAAATCTAAATCATCCGAAACCTTCAGAAATGAGTTCTTTTTTATTTTTTCTATCCTTTTATTTTAATGCTCCAGAAGAGTCAAGTTGACTTGAAATTTCTATTAGAGCCCATTCTCACAAGGGGTTTTTGAGGCGGGGCGGAGTAGCAGGATACGCGTCTTTGTGTCGCGGGCACAACTGCCAAGTCGCTCAGCAGCGCTACCAAGTGGTATTCGACGTGTTTCGCCAGGCGTCTGGCAACTGTCACTTCCAGTACGTCCATCTCCTGAAATTTAAACGGTGGCCTCTCTTGGTACATGCGCGGTCCTCTAAAAAAACTTGTCTTGTCTTGCGTGATGGCGCTGCTCTCGCTAGCTCAGACTTCAACCAGTCCACTGATACCTGGTTTGCGCATGTGATCAACAGTGCTCCCCCTCGGTAGCGATACTCCGTGATTCGCCCTGTCTCCTTTTCCAAAAGCGTTTCTTCCAGGTCTTCATGGACAAAAGACAGGTGCGTTACTTGGATGCTTAGAATCCTTTGCTTCTTGTGTCATATTTTTCAGTTTCTGGCCCGCTGCACTGAGAGTTCTTCAGTAGCAGGAGTAGTTTTCTGGTTTCTTTTGTTTTATTTATTTTTGGTCCATATGAATCCCACGACTATGGGGAAAATAAATATCAACAACCGCAGTGCCCTCTGCACACGTGTAAGGCAACTTAATTCAACAGAGTGGCGTCCGGTGCCCTGAGGTTGGGGCCGGTTGTTGCTGATCCTCTGTGCTGTTGAAAGTGTTTAGAAAGCTTTGTGGCGGACTCTTTCAATCTTTATACAATTTCGTGCTTTCAATAAACTTTTGAGATCCTTTGATACCCTTTCAGACCTAGTTGAGTTTAGAAAACTCAAGTAACCATAAAAGTTCTGAAACTATGGATGTGTTTCTGTTAATCTTTGTGTCTGAACGTTTTATATAATAAACACATTAACAGGTGATGGTGTAAACGATTCTCCTGCATTGAAGAAAGCCGACATTGGTGTTGCAATGGGTATCGCCGGTTCAGACGTATCGAAGCAGGCCGCAGACATGATCCTTCTAGATGATAACTTCGCATCAATCGTTACCGGAGTTGAAGAGGGGCGTCTTATTTTTGACAACCTGAAGAAATCAATCGCTTACACGTTAACGTCCAATATTCCGGAAATCTCGCCTTTCCTCGCTTTTATGTTGTGCGACATTCCATTGCCACTCGGAACGGTTACCATTCTTTGTATAGATCTTGGAACCGACATGGTAAGTTCGAATTTACTTCTAAAAATTCCTTAACTTTTGTTGAACCAAAATTGATTGTGCAATACTACTATTGGCAGATTTAATTGAAAACTATGTCTGTTTTCAATTTAGAGTAGATCATAATCAATTAGTTATGTGTAGGTTCCGGCAATTTCACTTGCATATGAAAAAGCGGAATCTGATATTATGAAACGACGCCCTCGAGATCCTTTTGGAGACAAATTAGTAAATGAAAGGTACAAAATTTAAAAATTCAGAAGCAGCATGTAGACTTGGGGGTTATATTTTTTGCACAGTAGGTTGATCTTGATTCAGAATTTGAATTATGCATTTCTTGTCATTTAGAGAAATGCATTTTAATTAACTGAGATATTAGTTGAGCTAGTAGGTATTTTACGTATCGCCAGAAATCTTTTCATAATGTTCCAATACATGAAGGTATGTCACTCAGATAAGTATTTCAATTTTTCAAAATACGCTTTTTTTACACACTTATTAAGCTTCTCTAATAGAAGACTCATATTTTACCTTTCATTCATTAGCTCAGTTTCTTTACAGCATCAGTAGTTTATATCTTTTTTCAGTAAGAAAGCAGGTGCCTTTTCTTATTTTTTTACTGCCTTTTTATCGATTTGAAAAATCTTTTTTTTAATTCTAATATTTAAAAATTGCTTATTAGCATGAATCCTCCGTCAATTGTGAAATAAGTCATACTTTTCAACGAATACCAAAGTTTATTATGATTATTATACATTGCGATCTAAACAGCTACCTGCCATATCACTGGCTTACGAGGAACCAGAAGCCGATATCATGAAGAGACCTCCCAGAAATCCGAGGACGGGCAAACTAGTTAATGATAGGTTATTTTTTTTTCTTTTTTTAAAATTTTAACTTTTGGGTACTAATATGTTAACATGTGGGGTTTGTTTATGCGTTGCGGTGGAATAATACTGGGATGATTAGTATTAATACTTAATGAAGTATCAAATTAACCACTAACTTTTTTTGAGTAGAATTTGGATATTAACTAGGTAAATTTATGAATGTTTTGTTTGAACTTTGGCTAATTAACATCTTATGTAGGTCTTGTCTCTAATCGGATTAATAAATAACTGCATTTATTGGTTTGAGTACAAAATTGTTTCAACGAATTTTATTTGCATTATATTTATTAATTAGAGTAGCGAATTTGACTTAAATTTATAGACCAACTTTGAAGCTAAAATTAGTTACTAGATTAATAGAATGACATATTTACACTTACACTATCCTTATCATTTCCAATCACGCGGAAGCGTAGTGACCTTGCTTAGCACTGCCTGTGACTTAGTTATATAGCTGTTCTGACTAGTTACTATCCTTTTGTAGCAGATAATACTGAGGGAGGTGTGTGCTTACCACAAATGCAGTTGCATTAAACATTTTCAATGATTCGTGTCTCATGTAAATACACTTTTAGACAAACATAAGGATTTAGTAGCAATGGGGGTTTGGTCATTTTGTCTCTACAGTGTGATCGAAGGGGAACAAGTTTGTACAAACACTTTTAAGTTTCTTAGCTTTTACTTTTTGTCGAGATTACCCTATTCGAAAGATGATCACTATTGTACTATAGAGTACACTGTACTTTGTATTCCTTTTTAGTTTATTTGAAAAGAATCACTTTCTACTAAAAAGCGGTTAACTTTTTAAAAATTCTAACTCAAGATTGTTGTTATTTCTTTCACTATTTGCAATTCACTATCTGCAACATATTTAGATGCCATTAGAATTGAACTGAGACACTTGAACAATTTAGGGTAAAGCAATGCATCTTTAACACCGATAACACATTGTTTATCTTCATGTAAACAGTGAATGAAAAAATATTCTGTGCACCAATACTATGGCATGGTTCGCACAATGCAGCTGCACCAAATTATGATTCATCGCTAAATTGAAAAACAACGCTTGCAGTGAAACGTGATTCCTAATCACTGTCCATTCACCCTTTTCCTGGCAATGAATGAATTTGAAGGTCATGCACACCTCCCTTCTCTCTTTTTTTTTGTAACCAAGTTGGGCACACGAGAGTCAAAAGCAGTGCCGGCATGTAAGTGTTATTCCCTTACAGCAACTCCTCATAATCCCGTCATGTTTTGTTTTGATGTGTGTTTGTTTGGCCGCGCTCAGGTCCCCGCCATATCCCTGGCATACGAGGAGGCAGAGTCAGATATCATGAAGCGACGTCCTAGAAATCCATTCACAGATAAACTAGTCAACGAAAGGTATGCCATGTCTTGTGTTTATCTTTTGTTGGTGGATCGGATGTTTAGGTTGAACCAAATCAGGTGATGTGCCCGTTGGTCAGCCATACGCGTACTTCTGCTCTCCCAATCCTGCATTAATCATTTTGCACTATGGCTTATTTTTTCATTATCTTCAGATGTTTACACATAAAGACTCGTTTTCTCTCAATCTATTCAGTCTTAAGTATTTATGTGTAAACGTATTGAATTTGAGGTAAGTAAATGACTTAATGTCCTCTCACTATCATTCATTTACGCTCCAGCTTATCAATGCCTACTTCTCCTAACCCTCACACACTACTTTCTATTTAACAGGTTACTTTAATTGATGCATGTAATTTTCACAACTAACTGTATGTATTGGCGCGGCCACTGTATAGGTGCCTGCTATTTCTCTGGCTTATGAGGCCCCGGAGTCCGACATTATGAAACGCCAGCCGCGCGACCCCTATAGGGACAACCTGGTTAACCGCAGGTGGGTCACTGCAGTGGTGTCGTGACGGCTATCGCACCACACTACTTTTTACCTCGGCGTATTGGTATCACATTCACATGGTGTATTTTTATTGTGTTTGTTTTCGATTATACTGTGTGTTTTTATATTTTTATTTTACCGATCAGCATTATTTTAAACTACAACTATCGTATGTTAAGTAAATTGGATATTTTAAAATAATGCGCCGTTGTTTTTCTTTTTTTACCAATCAGGTGTTCATTTTGCTTTAATAACATTTTTCAGAAATTGACATGAAATTTATTGCTTACAGTTAATGACATTCTGAAAAAAAGTTACTCGCTTTATTTAGTATTGACCTTTCGGTTGAAAATTGTAAATTGTTTAACCGAGGTGTAGTTTGGTGTGATATAGTAGTGCACAGTAGCAGCACTAGCCACACTGCAGTTTCGTTGACCTTTTCTTGCAGCTCTTATTATGTTGTCGCACAAGAAAGCTGCTGCCTGAAGCCTGGAATCTAGAGTAGTCTTTTTTTTTCGTTTGCATCTATCACTCCAGGCTAGCTGGAGCGTTTTTACGTAAGAAAATTAGATTAATATTTTTTGACAAATAATTCTCTGGAATTTTTTTTTTAATAACCTCTAAAGGTATATGTCATGTTATGAGCCTCGAAATTGCTAACAGATCACTTTAACAGCTTTAGCGTAATGCATTTTTCCAAATTCTAAAGTATCTCAAGAACTCAACTTTGTCAGTCTTTGTGGAAATCTTAGGAAAAATCTTTCATTGTTTGTTTGCTTGTTGCATATTTCATTTATTTTTTTTCTAATAACAAGCTAATAATTATTAACCCTAAACGTCCAAGGCCCCCCAGCAGAAGTGATGTGCTTTTGGTGTTACAACGTGTATTATGATATGTCAAATTAGTGCAATGTTGGCTTGTTGTATATGATAGTGTTTATTACCAAACTTGATATGCAAACGCTATCGTTTACACTGCGCTTTGACATATTGTAAGGTGTGTATTTACTGTGAATCTGTTTTACGCATGTGTATTTTTGCATGTAGTATTTATGTAATATTAACGCATGGGTGGAATGACTAACATAAACGTTGTAAGTATAAACAATTGTTCTGAACTCCGTTTTTAAAGGATGTAACAATTGCTCGGGAAATAAATTTATTGTTACCTATGCCTTTATTGCTTTGTTATTATTTCATTTCGTTTGCATTCTCTATCATTTTAAATCTTTGCCAGCACAAATGCTGAAATAAATTCCTTAGCTGCACATAATGTAATGAAGGGGGTGTATATGCTTTATTTTTATAGCTTATTGCTTTCAGTAGCCAGTATTGATGAAATTTAAATTTCAATCTACTCTTACATCTAATTCGCCATATTCTCTCTTAACTAGAAAATTGTTTACTTGTGAAGTTCAGAACAATTGTAGTCAATATTGAAATTAAATTCCATTCTGACAGAAGCTTCCTTATATGTATAGGTTGATCTCAATGGCATACGGACAAATTGGTATGATTCAAGCGGCGGCCGGCTTCTTCGCCTACTTTGTCATTATGGCTGAAAATGGATTTCTACCTCCGGAACTGTTTGGCATCAGAAAACAGTGGGATTCAAAGGCTGTTAATGATCTTACGGATTCCTATGGCCAAGAATGGGTAAGTACAGATTGTATCTTTTTTTATTAACTAATAAGTATTGGGTTTTAAAAGTACTACCATATTTGAAATTTGCCTAGTGGCCTTTAGATAGTACACCTATTGTCACTAATAGCATTGTAAAGACCAATTCAAAAATTCAGCGTCACAGTTGGTGATCACAGAGTTACATATAGTAAAGGAAGGAGCAGTACATAGGACCTGCGCGGTGAAAAATAACCCCAAGTACAGTGGCCACATACTTATATAATTTCAACGGCCGGGCTGTGACACATGCGCGTGGCATGAAAAGCGAATCAGTTGATTTGCTTTGCTCGCAGCTACTTTGTTGATTCGTCACTATATCTCCATCCCGTTAGTACGCACACTCGCGTACGGTCTGCGCAAGATTCAATTGGGACCAATTATTCGCAACAACACTGTTTCTCTATTTACTATACAGTGTGTCCCAGATCGGGTGGGATTGCATGGGTAACTTTCTTATTATTAAAGATAGAGAATTGGTTAAATGGACAATGTTTTGCAGTTTTAGATGCTTATTTAAAATTTCCTTGTGGAAATTCAAAATGTCGAATAGATTCGACGTAAATTCAAAAAAACTAAAATTGGTCATTTCCTTGAATGTCTTATAACATCGAAAGTATAAGAGATATAAAAAAAATTTTATATAAAAGTTATTGTCTTTGATACGCTTAATTGATGTTAAAAAAAATTCAAGATGGCTGCCTTTGAGGAACATTTACCAACTTCCTAAAGTTAAATAGGCGCCATATTGGATTTTTAGATTATTTGATAGGTTTTTAAATTCTGTTTTCAACAAGCTATCATAGCATAAGATTGAAAATAAGATACCAGGTATATCAACGGTTTTTATATTTTAATCAAGTAGTCTGTAGGCTGTAAACCTTAATCCACTTGTCAGAAGAATTTATTTCGAGTTGAAAATTCAAATGTCTAATTAAGCGAATTGTCAGTTACATGGTATGTTCACAATTCTTTCATTGCCAACTATGACGCTGATTTTTTGAATCGTTCAAGTAGGTAAATAGCCATCCTGACAGCACATGGCATACTTGATTTCATATGTTTTCTAAATATTGAATTACAAATTTCTTAATTTTTTTGGATATCAACAATATGTATATGCTATGATGTCATATAGTAAATTTATTATTATCTTAATTAAACATAGGCATTGCATTTGAAATGCAAAAGTTGCACCGAATTCCTGTGTAACCGGAAGTGATACGGGAAATCTCTATATGCCTTCAGATAGATTGTGATATTGCATACAAAATTAAATTTTACCATTTTTTCGACTATCGCTAAATAAAAGACATATTGAGGTGACCGTATTCAATGGTGGAAATGCAATAAGAGAATTTCAATAAACGAGACACAAAAAAAGTTTCTTTATAATGTGGAATAATCTGCCAGTTCCAGAGTCAGGTAAAAAAATTATTGAATCTGATCTCATTGTTTAAATGGAATACCCTGTAGATTTTAATCTAAAAATATTACACAATAAAATTCAAAAATACAAAAAAATTCAAAACTTTCTTTGGATCATTTGAACGTTTTTTTATTTCATTATGGATCATTTGAATCTTTTTTAATTATTGTCCATGGTGTGTTATATGTTTAAAAAGAGGTATCCTTTGAAATTAAAATATACGGGTTGTTCTATTTTAAAAAATGAGATTAGGGTGGCTTATTTGTCATGCACAGTAGTAGGATCTCGTAATCCTATATGTTACAATGTCGTTTAAATGAGAATATTCTCACGAAATGCAGGAGACGTTGTCTGATGTACTTCACCCAATTGCATCAATGTTTTTAATTTCCAGGACTGTAATTTTATGTTCACTCTCTCCTCTTAATTGATAAATGAAGGGTAATGAAACGCTTTTTGTTGAGAATTTCAGTTTGTAGTATCTCCGTTTTGTCTTATATTTTTTTATTAGTATAATCAAAACGACATTTTATAATTCTTTTATTACAGACATACAAAGACAGAAAAACATTAGAATACACATGTCACACTGCCTTCTTTGTATCGATTGTCATTGTACAATGGGCCGATTTAATCATCTGCAAAACCAGACGAAATTCAATCCTACATCAGGGCATGCGTAACTGGGCATTAAACTTTGGTTTGGTATTTGAGACCGCTTTAGCCGCATTTCTTTCCTACACTCCAGGAATGGACAAGGGATTGAGGATGTTCCCTCTCAAGTAAGTACATTTTGTTAATTATTAAATTCGTTACTAATGGGTATTATAGATTTTTATGGTGGTTACCTGCACTTCCCTTCTCTCTCGCTATATTCGTCTATGATGAGATTCGAAGATTTTATTTGCGACGCAATCCTGGTGGATGGTTAGAACAAGAAACATACTATTAAAATGTGAATGGGTGCGCACTGCCATTCATTGGCCACTACGTGGTCACGGCGCAGTTCACATTAGTTATTATTTCGATAGGAAAAGATTTCGTTCCATCAAAATCGTGCGCACTACGCTGCGTATTTGGCTGCTTTACTACGTTCTTTAAGCATATATGATACAATAAGGCACAATCTAAAGTTAAAAACGATATCATTCTCTATCGATACATTGTATAAATCCTGTTGCTAATTCTAGTAAATTTGCTGCTTACGCAGTTTTAATATAAGTATCAAAATGCACGCAACCATGTATTGGCTTTCGTTTGTATACATGTTGTTCCATTGTTGAAGAATCTCTTCATTTATCCACGACAGTACATGGTTACCTGCATAAATTAGCCATAATTTAATTACCCTTGGGACAGTCTGAATCTCAAGCAACACACTGTCTAGTGGTCGCAATAGTGTTTTCATACATTCCAGTTGAAAACAGTTGCCTTAGTGCTGTCAGTCTGTTCAGTCCGTTGTTACGAGCCCGACCGGACGTCGCACTGTTCATTGTTGCGCTTGCGGCCGCCCGGGCTCTCTGCCTCTTTAGATAGTGTCAATGTGAATGAAAGATATGTAGTATTATTTAGGCTTCAACACTTAGGTTAGCTAGAGTTGTAACTGTGTTGTTATATCGTGTTAAGTGTAATACAGGTCGTGCTCAAATACACATTTCTAATCACTGTTATTATTATTTAACATTTCATTATTACATTATTTTTTGTATATAGTTTCATACTATATTACTGTGCATGCGATGGCGCTGACGTGGGTAACAATAATAATAAGAAGAACGTGAGGTGGGGGGGGGGTCCTTTCTATTTGGTTTGTTGTATGTCTATGTCACACTTTCAGAGGTATGCTTTTGTAGAACACTATTTTCTTATATCCCGAACCATCGTGCATTGGTCTGAGACCAAGTTGACCACAATATTGTTATTGTAAATATTTTTAAGTGATCACTCAATTTGTTTGCTTGGTTTTTCACATTCATGTTTAGTATATAATGAAGCTGTATAAATTTGGGTTTTAATAAAATGGATGATAGCATATGCGTTTTTTTTTTTTTTTAAAATTGCTGAAGTTTTAAGAAAAATTTTTTGTAGTAAAAAATCTGTTAAATCAAAATTGAAAAAAAATTAAACTACATATTTTTTGGTATTTCAATGTGTGTTAATAGTTTGGCTGAAAGGAGATATTTAAGACTTAATTTATAATACTTTTACAATATTATTTCTGACTGTTCTCTATTTCTTATATGTGCATTAATCTATGAAGGGGCAACTAGTTCTATTCGATCAACATAAACGGAGGGTTGAAATGCGATCGGATACAATGCTTCAACTCAATTTGACAAACTTGGGAGATTAAGTTCAACGCATCTACTTTGGAATAGTGCGTCGGACGGCATCACCGGAATTGAATTTGATGTCAAATTTTTAGAAATCAACATCACTTAAAGCAAAATCTCCCCCATAGTCAATGCTATTGTTTATTTTTAATTAGTGTAAGTGAAAGTCGTATATTGCCCAACCACCGGTCAAGAAAAGTTTAGATAATAAGAAACTCCTAGTCTAGTTCACATTTTAGGGATTGAGGAGTAACTTCGACATATCCACTAGCATATACACTCGCAAATGGATTCCCTACATCCGATTGAAAGTTATGGCGTAAACAGCGCCTATTGTATGTTGCAATTCATAAATTAAACCAATTCAATGTTGGATTTCATTACTAAACAGTCTAAAGTCGATTTACTGTTTTGTCAAATTTAACTTAACGCAACTATATAGTACACATTTACGGGTAAATACTATACTATTACTACACATAAAACGTCCAATTTTCTATGCTATTATCACCGATTAAGCACCCTTTTACTCGTGTTACTATGGATGTAGGCAACACGCAATGCAAACTTTTGACAAAAGGTACCCATAGCAAAGAGTATCTACCCTACTCTTTGCCCATAGTAAGAGAAACCCCGGTATGGTACAAACGCGTGTAGGCGATAAGAACTCGCTCGCTAGGATTCAAAAAGTGGGCCCTCGCGTAGAGGTAGCCAGAGGTAGCCCCGTTAAATATTGCTGTGTAATGAAAATTTACAGAATTATTTATAGAACACCGAGTAGTATAGTGAGGCCGATCTGGGCGCGCTATGATCTTGAGTTCTGCGCATGCGTCAAGTTCAAGGTAATTGGATTTGGTTCTGTTTGTCGATGAAACAGGTCTGTTTATCACAAATAGGTTAATTTAACGAACCTGATTCTGTTGAACAGCACTGAGCAGACCTGTTTCTGAAAAACAGACCTGTTTTCATCGGCAAACAAATGACTGAGAAATTGGCGCATGTGCAGTCAAGGGCAATGTGCGCCCGGATCAACTTTACTAGTATATGTTGTCTGTGACTATACTACTATAGCGGTTTAAAAATTTGCGTGGTTGTCACATTTAATTTTCTTGCATATTGGCTGTATAAAATGTGGAAAATTTTAGAGAACTATATTTTTGATTATGCTTGTGGAATATCACATTTACTATTGATATTTTTTTTCAATTATGTAGTTGCTGTTTATCCTGTTTGCAATTCAAATTGATTGAATAAATAAAATAAATTACTCAAGCATAACAGTCTAGGTTCTAGGCTAATTAGCTCTAAAGCTTTCCAAAAAAATTAGTTCTTGATCCGAACCTGGTTTTTCATGCAAGTGGAGTGATTAGGGATTGGGGAAAAACAATTGAAACGGCCGAATTTTTCCGCAGGTGAAAACCCTGGGGTTGAAAGTGGCGTTGTGCTATTTGTGACAATACTATTAACTTTAGACGAAAATGTCCAATTTAAAAGTTATACAGAATAAAAAAATGAACAACTGTTGCATCTGTAGGTACTATTTTTACGTATCCTCAAATTTTCCGAGAAAAACTGGAAAAACTTTTTTCCGTTTTCTATTCCTATTTTTGCGAAAAAAGTCGTAAAGGTTTGAAATTTGGAGGAATCATAGCTTGTTTTATGATAAAAAGAGGAGACAATTTTCTTGGGTCTATTTCCGAGATTGCACGATTTTCGAAAAAAAATCCTTTCTTTCAGGGGGATGAAAAATTTATTTTTTTTCATCGTACAAAGCTGCGCCAAGTGTCGCATACATGTTTTTCAGCTACCATTGGCTGAAATTTCTACTAGTAGCGGGAAAAACATAATACTCGTAAGTATAGGTAACGCCACCACCATTGGGTAAATTTAATTTGCCGCTCAACTGAAGCCACCACGAATTCTCATTTGAACCGCAAACGCCATTTGACCACGACTATAATTCGATTGGGGCCGTTTATTTTGGACTTTTTATATTGTTTATAATTTGGGCAGAAAAAGTGAATAGGTATTTTCCGAAAATCTTACGCTATCTTCTTATTTTTATAGTAAATGTAATAAAACGTTTATTTGGCCTATTTTTTTTTCAAAAAAATTCTGCAGAGTTTCGGATGGTGTCCGCCGCATGCGCATCACATTTCCACATGTATTGGCAAGTGACAGCCGCGATTGTTGTCGCCTATTGTCTCTTGCAATTTCTCAGGTGAGGCCAGCAGGTCTCTTATCAAACTGATACTGCCTTAAACCTGCATGGTCTTGCAGCTTTAATGCTCATTTTTAAATTAACATAGGAGACCAACAAATTCTAAATTATTAATTAACCCTCTATTCCTAGATGGCAAGAGCTTTTGGCCGCAACAAGATAATCGAAATATCTTAAAGGAAACGATTGCAAACTTCGAATTAATTACAGCTTTTGTTTACGGTAACACCGGCAGAAACACAACTCGAGAAATTAAACCTTTTATCTTCTATCTTCAACTTCAAGGCGGAAAACGAGTAGTTTCGTTTCAGTACGTATATAGCATCTTGTCAGCGTGACGAGCAAGATGAAATAAGCAGTAATGAACCTGCCCTTTCTGCATATTGTGGATGTGCATTCTACGGCGTTCTTTACTAAACTACCTAGGTACCCAAAAAGTAAGCAAGACAATATATGAATGAATGATGAATAATGCAAATTTGAATCTCACTGGGAGGTTGTTTTGCCAAATTATTTCTTTCTGCAGTAATATAATGCAATGAATAAAGAATACATAATGGCACGGAATATTAATTTCTAATTTCATATGGCCAGCGACATGACAAAAAACGTTAGGGTCGAAAAATGCGTTTAAAATCAAACTTAATTTCATAGGTAAGATTAGCTTGAAAAAACGTAGTGAGGGACTCCACTTTCAGCAAGGTCCTAGGCTCCGTCCTAGGTAAAAATAGGCCTACTGTTAAAATCATGTTTAACTTGAGTTTCCAAAGGCGACTCGACATCAATCCTTTTTTGATCGCCCGTTAGAATTCAATATTTGTAGGTTGGCAAGTGAACAAGGAAAGCTTATAGTAAATCTATTAGTGTATGTATCTACTCTTCCTGTAGTTCATATACAATTTCTAATCTTAATTAACATGTAGAATGTAATAAACCCCCAAAGGTATAAATTCCAAGCGTTTGATTAAAGTAGGGCGCCTGCGTAATCAAATTTCAAAACCGCTTTCATTAACATGTGTAGTGAGAATATTTTGTAGTAGATGGCGCCATTAAGTGCATACCTTACGCACTTTTTCGTACTGTTGGTTGCAACGGCCATTTAAAAAGTGCAACAATAAACGTTTTAGTGACGTATGTTGGTGTTTATAGCGCATTTATGCGAAATTAGTGCAATAAACATTTAAATCAAAATGCATCCGAGTCGAAGACGAAAAAAGCGTCCGAATTACGGAATTCGAACGGTGGAAGTGCTGCGGGGACCCAATGGCTTTGGCTTTACCATTTCTGGTCAACAGCCTTGTATTTTGTCTTGTATTGTTTCGAATTCGCCTGCGGATCAAGCGGGACTTCGCGCTGGTGACTTTTTAATATCCGTTAATGGTATGTCCGTCTCGAAGAGCACGCACGATTCCGTCGTCAATCTGATCGGAAACAGTATCGGACCGATTAAAATGACAATAGCCGAAAACTACTATTCGGATAGTAGCGACGAGGACATCGATTTGGGAAGGATGGTGAGCAATCGAAAACCGAAACACATGCATCGACCACGTACTCAACGGCAGTACAAGCATGAGGCTAGTGGCAGTGCTAACGATCGTTTAGGTTTTAATAGTCCAATAAAGAAAGTCATGCGGATGCAGAATATCATAAGCAAGACAGGCAAGAGTGAAGAAGTTCCTTTGCAAAAGTGTGCCCTAGTTGAAAATGAAGGTGGTCCTATCGAATACAAAGCGCTCGTCGGTTATTTAGGTACGATCGAAATGCCAAAGCAACTTCTTCCAAATGCGCGTTTACAAACGGTCTGTAGTTGTATACGAAAATTGAGGCAAGAGAAACGGACTCCAACAAGTGTGTTAATGACAGTTTTACCCACCTGCTTAACTTTAAAAAACGCCTCGAACCAAATATTAGCCATTTACCCTACGACACGAGTTGTTTATATCAGTTCGTCAATTGATAAAGACCTGAGGTACTTCGGATTAGTTACAAGTGCCACGTGTGATAATCGAACTGTCGATAATACACAAGCACGGTAAGTATCTTCATAACCAGAAAACTATTTACATTAACAAAAAATCTAACACTATACTTCTCGCTGATGCTTAAACATGCGTCTGGTTATTTAAGTTAGTTAGTACCTTAGAGGGTACCCAGATGGCGTATTTTGTTATTCGATTTGTAATCACATTGCAATGAGAGGAAAATGTGTGTATTAAAGGCAGAAGAATGTAATATTTAAGTTTCAAATACGAGCAGCATAAACAATAGTTTGATAACTATCATATGCTAAAGCTTTATTATTTATGATGGAACAATTGAGGCAGGTAAGTAAGTATGACAATGGCATCTAGACGCAAAGTTTTATTCATTCACATATAGAATAGATAGACAGGCAGGGGAAAGAAAATAGAAGTCTTTCTGATTAATGAACATATTGGATTATGGTCACACTCAAAATGGGTTTGATCAGCACAATTTTTGGTGATGGTTCAGCTGCAGATCTCAAGAATCCAATTCTGAGCAAAACTTCTTTCTTTTGTTTGTTCCTCGGTTTGTTCCTTACCGAGTTCCTTACGCAACTAGGTGTATAGGGTGTTCCTAATTGCTTGCTTTTGATGTTTTTTGGGTATATTTTGAGAACTAAAAGAGATAGAGTGATGCGGTTTGCGCCTCTCGTAGATACTTTTCAAACCTGCCTAGATTGACGATGTCAATTTTGACGTAACTTGCGCGAACATGGCAGCAGCGTAAAAGTCCAAAAATGCAGTAAACAGTTTTTGCTTTATAACGTAGTTATTTCTGGGAATATCAAAAAAGTAGAAGGAATAAAAGTTACTTACGTAAAAATAGTCTCTTAGTAGGTAAGGAGCTAGTCGAGGGGCTATTTTTATATTTTCCATAGGCTGCTTAGTTTTTAATATAGGTACAGCACCAAAGTTTGTTTTTTTTCAAATGGAACGTACCTAGGTACGTATATACCTTTTGCACCATTAACTTCCTTATTTTTTTCTAATCAGAAAAATACATAGTTATCAGCGAGGTTATCAGTTGACGTAAATTTTACTAATTTGAGAAATTCGGCAACCTTAACCACCTCTAAAAATTCATATTTTTAATTATCACCTGATATCATTCCAGGTACAGAAGAGAAAAATTTAACATGAACACTCTTATCTAGGTTGTAATTTGGGCTTGTTTAAACCAGATAACACAACACGCAACAAGCGATCGATTAAACAAATTAAATTTAAATAAAAGTTTTAATTACCTTAAGTTAAAAAATCCTTATCATCCGGTCAAAATTATGCTTTTGAACAAACAGGCGCACTGACACATAAAAAACCAAACTGTTGATGCTTTGGAAGCTCACTTCTTTGACTTCCCTTAAAATTCGATTTTAGTAGACGACATTCACTTCGTAGTTACAATTATAGTGTAGGCACGTAATGGTGGAATAGCTCCCTTTAACTGATAAGTTATCAGTGATAACTTAAAGACTTTAAAGAAAGGCTTCAGCGCTGGATAACCACAGCACTCTCACTAAACTTTTTCATAAACGAGAAAATACCTCAGAAAATACGTATTTATCACGATGTAAAGGAGATTCTTTAAACACTCTAACTTCCTTCTACACAACTTTATAATTAAACAAGATCCCCTGCCTTTTGACATACGCTCTAATACGGCAATACACCAAAACAAACCACTACGTTTCAAACGTCCACCGTCAAAAAAGCCACCTTTAACGCCCGACTCGTTTATTTAGAACCACTTCCGTTCTTCCTTTCTTAATAGAATACTGCGTCTTCGAAAGAAGAGCCTACTCAGCGATAATATTCTTATCCCAATGACCGGAGAAAAACATGAGATAAATTTTTACCAATACGCAAATAATTCCTAACTGAATAAATCTAGTACACGTACGCCCTGGTAAGCTCGCTGCCGCGTTCGGTACGATAGAACCTCCCACTGCCGTCACCGCCACGTGCGAAATTTGTACAGTGCTTTTTGGACAAATCACGCACTTCGTCGAGAAATTTGGGTGGGATCTGTTGCAGCATGCCCCTTACAGCACTGATCTCACACTGAGTGATTTCCACTTGTTCCCAAAATTAAAGGAGCACCTACTTGAGTGCCCAACGCTTCGTGATGGGCGAAGAGTTGCAAGAAGCGATCATCAAATGCTTCAATGGACTGGCGGCGGACTTTTTTTAAGTGGGTTTCCATAAAGTGGATTACTTGTTAACAAAAATGCGTAGATTATGTTGAAAAATAGGTAAAAGATCAAGCTTTCCAATGCTGTATTTTTCAGTTCAAATATAAAATGGCTTATACCTGAATAAAATGTGGGATCCTTATTTTTTACGCAATCCTCATAATTTAAATTTTCAAATACCAACTCAAAATTAACAAAACAATTATTTAAATAAAATTAAACATCAAATAATTAAATACTCTGATTCTCTGATACAACTTCAACATGGTCTTGGAATTCAACGAGGGGGTAATACATGAGCAAAATGTTGTACGAAAGACTACCAGTTGCGAAAGACTACCACAGACTACCATAGGACTACCAGTGTCTACAAGAGACAACCCATGAATACCAGAGACTACCATATAAATACCAGAGACTACCAATGAATACCAGAGACTTCCATATGAATACCAGAGACTCTGGTACTAAAGAAACTCTTGTGAAAAAGTCCTTCTTTGAAAATTATAATAACCGCCTAAATCTGAATTACTACTTAAGGCAAAGTGGTGTGCGTACCTACATAACAATAACGTGTTTTTCGGATAATTCGGGTAAACCGGCGGCGGCATGCCCATGAATCAGTTGTACAGGGTGAATCGAGGGGTGAGTCAACGATTGCGCGGAGTAACTTAATGCTTTGAAGATAAGATTTTTCGATAGAATACTTTTGCATTATGACATGGTTGAATATTCTCCACATTTGAAAAATATTTGGAATTATACAGGGTGCACCCACAAAGTAGGGCGCCCAAATGGTACATTTTTTTAAATAGAATCCCCTGTATTTGAATGCATTTTTTTTTGACGAGATAGATAAAAATTGCCTTTTTTGCATGTCCACCTCACTATTGTGTAAATTACATATAACTTACTTAAGATTAGAATATAAAACCCAGGAAAACCACGATATTTCGAAAACTATCAGAGATAGGTATAGGACATTATTATCCAAAGTTTAAGGTTTTTGGAGGAGCTAAATGATGACATAAAAATATACAGGGTGTTCCATTAAAAAAAGTGAGATTTTTTAATATGAAGTTTTGCAACTTTGGACTTACCAAAAAAACACCCTGTAAGTTGTATTTTTAATGTTTCATAGTAGATGTATTTATTTGACTTTTACTTAACACAAGATAAGATATAAAACCTGGAATCAAAATTTAAGTAATAATTTTGACAATATACTGACGCTTGCAAATGCCCAATTTTTCTTAAAAATCGAATTATCTTTAAGACTACTAGCTTTTCGGATATTAACCATATAATAAAAAAGGCGTACAATTACACGTAGAATTCAAAAATTCAGAGGATTCTATTAAAAAAAATGTACTATTTGGGCGCCCTACTTTGTGGGTGCACCCTGTATAATTCAAAATATTTTTAAAATGTGGAGAATATTCAACCATATCATAATGCAAAAGTATTCTATCGAATAATCTTCAAGGCTTAATGCCTCCGCGCAATCGTTGACTCACCCTGAACTGTAAATAATTACCGATACTACCCTCTAAGCTAAACTACCCGTTATGCTAATGACTATTGACTTTCTGCTTAAACCTGTCTACTCTTAAAAGGCTGGTAAATCCCTAAAACTTGAATGGAACTTGAATTCTTTAAACATAGAAACGATTTACTCCGCCAATGTTAAAAACATTTATAACATAAATAAATTAAAATTGATCTTTGGATCTACTAGTGGAAAATCTATTATAATATAATCTAGATCTAGATACAAGATCATCTTCTAAAAAGGGTCTAGATCCAGATCTAAGATATATGTGATTATCATGGAAACCTTGGCCTCGACCTTGGCCTGTTTTTAAACACACAAGACAAATCATTATTACTGATTGAATCGCTACCATCTTTAAAACAGAATCGTCACCTTCAATCACCAGCGCTGCAACAATCAATTCAATTAATTTAAGTATGCGATTTGATAGACAAAATCATAAATACCACAGTTTATGCCGGAAATACCTACCTACAAGCAAAATGGAAAATAAAAAAAGTTAGTAAATGCTCATAGGAATACCAAAGATTACCACCAGAAAACCAGCGATTACCACTGACTACTATCGGAATACCAGAGATTACCATTGACTACCACGGGAATGCCAGAGAATACTACTGATTACCTTCGGAATACCAGTGACTACCACAGACTACCACAGGAATACCATAGACTACCACAGGAATACCAGTGTCTACCAGTCATGTGTACGAAAGAATACCACACCGATTAAGAATACCAAACCGATTAAGAATACCAAACCGATTAACCCCTCGGAATTCAACTAGTATGATCAAGATTGTGCTTAATCCCAAATTTCAACCAAGATTTAACGTTAAAAATATGTAATTGAAATTACACATACCAGGTGATCCAACATTACTGTAAGTAGCTGAAAAAAAAAATCGCCCACTTAAACATTAACGAGATTTGGCCGTTTTTGGGGTATTTTTCTTTGTAAAACATTTTTTTGGAGATTCCATAATGAAAACATCGAGGAAAATATTAAACCAAACTACGCAGAATGCCCTATTTTAAAGTATATTTTGGTATCTCACCAAGTTGCATTCGGAATTGCGGGAATTTGTTTACTCATGTCACGTTCTGTATTAGCGCAATGCCCTATATGTCCAGGTACACCTACGAGTTGTGCAAGATTCCTGAGGTAAAAAATTACTTCAAGAATGCAACAGCGGTCAGTTTCGAAGTTGGGTTTTAATTAGAATTATGAAACGAAAACGTTAAATGTTAAATTTTTGTCCGTCTTCACTGCATTTCTGATGACACTGTGGTTTCTTAATGTTGGTCAAAACTAGATTTTAATATGACTAAAGTTAAAATTTAGTGGGAGTGCTAAGTCTTCTGACTTCTTGGTAGTTTGGATTTCTTTTGTGGTTCTCCATGGAAAGTTTAGTTCTCTGTAATCAGGCCAAACGTCAACTTTTTAAATGTTGCAAAAACCAATACGTCGAATGTAGTAGTAAAATTTACATCATAAAAAATATGGCCTAGATACATCCATATCTTCAAAAAAAAATCAATATCGATTGAATGATAATATGATTGTATCTCGGATTGTATTATATATTTTGTGTACTAAGTCATTGACTTATAAAATATTTGTTTTTTTTACAGAAATAATCAATACTCCAACGTGGATGACAAGTGGGATTCTAATTCATTTGAAAAACCGTGCAATAACAAGAACGAGGATAAATTGGAACTAGAAATTTCGAACAGCTGTCATGTTTTTATGACCGATCCTAAAATGGTCGAGCATAACATTCATTTAGAGAAAGCCGAACACTTCAATATAATCTGTACCCCAGATTTAGTCATGGGAAATTGTTTGGAGTTCCCTAAGAATGCTTGTTATATTGTCAGTTTAGTGCAAAATATGTATAAACTACAAGACTCCACTAATAGAGCGAATGGAAGAAATGACGATTTGTTACCAATCTTGGCAAATTCTCCACAACCGAGCGCCTCGAGTAACTCAGATTCTGGTATAGGATTTCGTGATGACTGTGGTAATATAAGTGATAGAATATTAGTCGTCGAATTTCCGACTCAAAAACATCTACCTATCGTCACTTCAACTTGTGTGCGGCCATCTGGGATTGACGCCTCCAGCCTTCTACTGGATGGTATAGATAAACCCCTGGAAGGTGACAGTGACATGTCAGGATATGCTGCATGTTCCAACTTAAATAATATTAGATGCAAAAACGACGATTTTAAATGCACAAAGGGTGTTTGTTTGGAGGACAAAGAGAACAATTCGAGTAATCTAAATAATATTCGCGCATATCAAGAGTGTACTAAAAATTGTGTGCCTAAAATTGACAACATATCAAAAAGTAACGAGATGGACCATTACAAAAGTCGACTCACTGTTCGTGCAATGCCGGATCCTAAGAAGTTGCAATCGAACTATGAGGAGTGTTGTCGAAATGGCGACATCGACACCGGACAGGTTTTCCGTGAGTGTCCCATAGATGTGCCATCATGTCAAAAATCGTATGAAACCGCTTCAATCAACTCTTTTCCGGAAGACGCTAGCTCTGTAGAAACAGTGTCAGTCCATAGCACCAAAAGTTTAGAGTTAGATAACTTAAAAGCGGTTTTTAAAACTCCGAGCGCTAAGTATTTGGATAAAAAGTCGACAAAACGCAAATTGAAAATGGTTGGCAGCTATGATAACTTAGTAATTGAAAATTACGAAAGCTCACTGATGAACTATAAACTAAGCCCGAAAGTCTATGGGATATCGAAACCGAATTATAGTTGTGAGGAACTCAACTCTTTGGATAGCATGGAAAAGTGCGGATACGGCAGTTTACAAGATTTGTGCAGTTTGGTAGATCAAAGTTCTACTAAATGCGGCATTGCACAGAGTGAACCGGATGTACGATTGAGACGGGGACAGGAATCTGGATTTTTGGTGAGTTGCCTCTGCGACGGGCGCTTTATTACAAAAATAAAAACAAAGTATAGGTCAAGGATTATAGTCTATTTAAAAGTGATAAATATTTATTGCTTTAAATCATTTTTATAGATTAGTCTATACATAGGTATTACTAATTAACTGCCAGAGTGAATTAGGCCAAAGATTTATGTGACTACAAATCACCTCGATTTTAATAAACACTCTTTTCTTATGAGCTTAATATTTTGCTACAGCATAGAATCTATTAAAATCACCTAGCGCTTATAATGCACTCTATTCGCTTTCTCTTGCAAAAAAACGAATGTAAGTAACTAGCATTATAAAAACCATCAAATACAAAACACTCGACAAAACAATTACACAAAGTAGTGACAGGTTTAGACTTCCACAAGAAACCACGAAGGTAGGTAATGGGAAATAATACTGAAGGAAATCAAATCTGAAATAACTACAAAAGTTTATATTTCTTTCATTTTCGACCAAAATATTTCATTTTTTAAGATAATGTAACAGACGTAAAGTCTTGATCATAATCAAAAGTTTATTTAATTCGACATAAAGTACAACAATCGTTTCGTTATTCATTACTTGAATTTAGCAGAATTCAGGATGGCTGTTTTAGTTGTATCTTCCATAATGAGTATTGTAACAGGTGGTCGGTTTAGGATTCAAAGATTTTTTATTAAATTTGCAAATTTGCCAGTATAGGAAATTTCGAGGGAAATTTTATACGTGTAGAAGGAAAGAGAACGGAGCTAATATCCGAGAAAATAAAGCGCGTTTGCGTTAGGATGAGAAATGAGTTTCCTCGGAGTCTTCAAACGAGTCGAAACGCTGCTGGTTCTAAAAATCGTCGTGACCGGGAATGAGGGACGATGTTTAATACCATCGCATGTATAAAAACGAGAGTGAACGTTTCGTTGGCATCGTTGGAGCTCGGCGAGTACATGAGTAAAAATTGGGTGGGAGAATGGCATTCTAAGCCCACTCTTCGAGTAACGTAATTTGTAGTTCGTGTAACACGAAATTCTTGGCCAGGCGAATCATGTGAGTTATGTACGCCATTTTTTGAGATCGCGTAAAATTTCATTGTTAATTAAAAGTTTGAACCAAAAGCCGTATAATAAAAGAATCGTTAGCCGCGCAATCGCAAAATGTGCCATCATCACCTTTCTTGTGTTTACGGATCTAAATTAAACGGTAACCGGTAAAAAGGTTAAATACAATTAATTCGTGGTTTTGTTGGCTGTCAGAACCTTAACTTATAATATAATATATTTTTGGACATTTCTATACTGCGGAATATTGGTAATTATTCCAGGGAATAAACCAAATTTCAACAAATAAATTGCGAATCACGTGAAGCACAGATTGAGACGCACGCGGCCGACGCAACACAATCCACGGCCACACACGCTTTGTATTGTCGGAGTTAATGAGCAAACACATTATGGCACAACAACAACTTCAACAGAACACAGAGCGTGTGCGTGAGTTGTGTTGCGCGATTGTGCAAATCATTGCCAACAATTTCCTCCAGAATTTCCCTTTGTACCTTATAATTTTCAGCGCATTTTCCAACGAAATTTAATGCGCGCCATTGCAGCTACTTTCTCTGTGCGTCTGTCCAAGACATTAACTACAGTAAAGTAAAAGTCAAATAAATATTACATCTACTATGAAACAATTAAAAATAAATTTACATGGTGTTTTCTTTGTAGGTCCAAAGTTACAAAACATATTAAAAATCTTATTTTTTTTAGATGTAACACTCTGTATATTTTTCTTTTAGCTCCTCCAAAAACTTTTTGTATTAATGTCCTATACCTATCTCTGATAGTTTTCAAAATATTTTGGTTTTCCTGGTTTTTAAAGACCAACCTTAAATAAGTTATAATGTTCATAACACCGAGGTGGCTATGCAAAAAAAATGAAACTCAGTTAAATTATATTAAATTAAATTTTTACTGTCAAGTTTCTCCAGTAACCTTTAACAAACGTAAAACTATATGTGACTTCAACAAGATAGTGATCTGTGCACTTTTATCGTGAAGCTTGAGGATATTTAAATCAGCACTATTCTCAAAGATGGATTGGCCGTGGAGGTTTTGTTGCATAGCCTCAAAGCTGACTTTACCCCTTTCGATTTTTTTCTATGGATCGGGAAAATATGATTAAAAGACTTGAAACCTGTAAGTGGTTTTTTTTTGTTACAAAAATAGTGTATTCTTCAAATTTTAGGGTTTTTGGTTTTTGGGGGAGCTAAAAGATGACGGAAAAATATATAGGTAATGTCGAGGGTAATGTAATGTAATATTTTACCCAGGATATAAGATAAGAGCCTGGAATTAAGTAGTAATTTTAATTTTGACACGCTTGCAAATGCCATTTTTTCTTATAAGTCAAATTATTTTTAAAACCACAAGTCCATCGTAGTATATTAATTAAACTATATAATAAAAAAAGTCGTACATTTTTAAAATGTGGAGAACTAGATTATGATAATTCAAAAGCGTTCTATCTAAAAATCTTAAATTCACGAGTAAATTCAAGACATTATAAATTGAAGTTACTCCGCGCAATCGTTGACTTCTCTGTACTTGATCCTTCTTGAGAATCATTTACCACATTTTGTGAAAAAAACTTTATTTTTAACACCAATTCATTTGGCATATTTCAAAAAAATGTTACCTCCTCAAAGTTCGCACCCAGGGTCTATAGAACCCGAGATAATTCAATACTGCCAAGTCTCGTGCCAAGTACATAGAGGTAATTTTCACATAACATCTAAAACAGTACCTTTTCGATGGGCCAACTTATTTTTCTCTTTTATGCACTTGTATCGTTGAGTGCTCGTATGTTGTAGATTGTATAGCATTGTGTTAAAAAACAGGTGAACGTATGGACAAGAGCCTCCAGATTGTGAAGCAAATTATTGTCGTCAATTATCTGTGACCTGTATATCTAAATCGACAAAACGAACAGCGAGATCCTCGGAGAGCTCAATTCATCTTCTCAGAAGATATCAATTTTCCATATAACTTCAAGGAACTAAGACCTCCACAAAAATTTCGAGAACTTCCCCCAACAATATCTTTGTCGTGGTAAATCTACAGTGTGAAACACCCAAAACTAGTTATTTTGATGGTTTCAAGAAAAACCTCAAAACTTAATCAGATCGTTCCTCGCTCTATTGATGCGCACTAGCTAGCTACCGCCTCTTTCAGTGAGGGGTCTATTAAGCGTTGGGTTCCTTGTAAATGAAAATCGGTGCCCAAGGTCCCTCACACAGGTATCTATTTGTTGTGTTGAATTACGCCATTTTTTATCGTAGTTGTCCTATTTTGAACTATCATGTATTATTGGTCTTATTTCTTCGCTTTCTTTTTTATCACACCGGAATCACTTTCGGATGTAATCTAAATTGTATGATCATCTACTCTTTCTAGTTTGCCCTCCTTTCTTGTTTTAGTTTTTTTTAGAATTCGTTTAAAATTGTTATTAAAAGTGAGCATGATGTCAGCAATAAATAATACGGTTTTGTGGGAATACGCTGCTAGCACATTTACAACGCGATGTTTCGTATTTTGTAACATTAGATCGGATGAGAACAGCAATATTAAGAAACCATACGGAACAACCTTCACTTTGGGAGCATCGTCGCAATCTCGCATTCCGATCAATTTTTTTTAGTTTTCGATAGCGACTGATTTATGTATATCTTTTTGACTACAAAAATCTTGTAATAAATTAAACGCTCCTTCGTTCTTTTTATAAATACGCTCTTGAAATGAAAGACACTCAAATAAATATTTGAATATTTATACCGCGCCAAACGTAGACCATTCCTAATCCCTACTCTTCCCATTGAGTAAGACTGAATCAGCATTACCAAGTAAACTTTAATTATTAATAGTACGCTTTGTATGTCGGAAGAATAAACACATTTAATGGGTATGTGAACGTGAGTTTGTGAATGGTTTTTTTTATTGGTAGACATTACGCGAGTATAGGGGAACTGTGTCGTTTGGTTTAATGTTGGTTTTCGAATTTCATTTTTGCGAGGGAATTTGCAAATATTTTCACCGAGGATATGGAAATATGCATGTAAGTTTTTACATTAATTACTGACTAACTATTTCACATTCCTTGGAAAGTTGTATAAAGTAATAATTAGTTACATTGCAATTCTCATTTGGTTTAGTAGGAACAACGCTCTAATTTAATTATATTGAACGAGACGGTTCGAATTTTCCCACATTCGCTTTATTTCCTGTTTATTATTCTTCAATTCCGTGAGACTGGTATCACCTTATTATAAGATACCGTTCATTGCGGGCAATAGTTTGTAATTACAATTAAAACTGTCGAGCTAAGTCTGAAAAAATGTACAAAATATCGAAAAAAATTAAAGGAAATGTGCGGTATCGCTCAAGGCCGGTACTTATTTACTTCCCAGGAAAAAACCCAAATTCAATATTTACCAGATTTATGTACACAGCGCTCGCTGAAGAAGCAAATAATATTCACTCAATTTTGCGATTTTTCAATGGTGAATAATATAAAAATAGCTAGTAACCGATTTTAAATCTAGGTAACTCTATTCCGTCTCTTTTCCTATAGGTGTATCCCCTGTCTCAAGACTGAGAGATGCAATGCAATCAATATCAGAGACGCACAAATGTACTAGTACTTAAGTGCCTACCCTAATTGAGTAGGTAACTCGATAGAATTCTCAAAATTCGGAAAGGGAACATCGGAAATTTCCGCCGGCGTCGTACTCACTACTCAGGTGATAACGTCCAACAATTAAAGCTTCTTTAATTAATTAGCACTCCCTGATTTTCTAAAAATCTGAGACTAATCTTGAAATTTATGTTAATTAAGCGCGCATCATTTTATCAAGTCTAATCAGTCGGGGTTTGCTGCAACACATCTGATTAGCTACCGGTATTTATACTAACTTAATTGACCGGATTAAAATTCCAAAATTC